TAATCCTAAAATCTAATAATTATCAAAACCCCAAGTCAACATGGCATTTTACAATCCCAAGTAAAATGAAAAAAAGAAAAACAAAAGCAATTTCCAAACAGAAGCAAGGCTAAACCCCGCCTTTTTAAATTTCAGTACATTATGTCACTGTCTCTTGCCACTATCATTAATGTCCAGTCCTAAATATCTGTGTGTTTTTGTCATCTACAGTATGTGCGTATAAAAATCTCATTAGTATCATCATATACCATCATCCATTCCCCAAAATAATAGAAAGCACTTTCATATCACTCATATTTTCCCAACATTCCCTTATATAGTCCTAGTAACTTCCCCATTCAGTCCTAATCAACAAGAAACCCCTCTAATAACTATCAGAAGTCACAACCTATATTCATTTTTACTACTATTAAGCAACAGTAATCTTAATAACATTGTCATACTGTTCTGCTCCCAAAAAATTACCATTAATCTATCAGAAACCACAGCCTATGTTTTAACCATAGTCAAACAGATTTACTTTATACACTTTCTGTTTACTTTTAAAAGGTTCATTGTTTCATCCTAACAGATAGTACTTCACATATTGAGTCTTTATTATTTTCTCCTTGTCTTCTTTCAGGAGCAACTTCAGTACATTATCTTTATCTTTTAGTGGTTTAAGACCTTCTTTTTGTAGGTCCAGAATAGTGTTACCATTAGATTGATCCGAGTTCTGTTTACTTTTAGAGAGTTTGTTCTTTAAACCTAGCAAACAGTGCCCCACAAGTTGAATCTGTTTTATTTTCTCCTTATCTTCTTCTTTCAGGAACCATTTCAATAAGTTCTCTTTGTCTCTCAGTGATTTAAAACATTATTTTTGTAAATCCAAAGCAATATCATCATTAGGCTGTTCCAAAGTAACTGTAAGTCCAAAATAAGATTCTTTTTCTTTAAGATCCAGTAAGATATCCATCTCCCTTTCTTCTTCCATATCTTTATTATCCACATCATTCTCCAAAATATCCAACTTGTGTTGAACTTGTCTCATATCAATAGCAGGCTCATTTAATTTAGCATCGATTTTCATGTTCAAATTAGCAAATTTATCCTCCAGTGACTGAATCATTTTTTCTGCAAAGTTTTGAAACATAATCTTGAAACACTCATCCCT